CGGGCGGCCGGCGACTCCAGTACAACCGCCCCGCACCCCCTGCTTTAAAAGGCATTCTCCACTCCGCTGACACCGGGCTATCAGCACTCTCATTCATGCATGTGACGTCCTGGAAGCTTTACGTCATCCACACGGGGCGGGGGGTGGGGGGGAGGCTCATGTTATTTCAGAAAAGTCTCCTTAAGCTGTCCTCAGCTTTTTTTTTGTTGTTGTTATTACCTGAAACGCACAGGCCAGCCCCTCTTATAAAGACCCATTGTACTTTTCCCACAATGCCTTGCCTCGCCTCTGAGCTGTCCTGTTGCTTTTCAGTGCTACCTCCCTCAGGCAGCAGTTCACCGCAGGACCTCTGGGGCCGTCCTACTTCATGCCCGTGTGTTTGTCGGCTGCTGGAGCCCCTTGAGACTCGCTGTGTGGAGAGCTGGCCACCACACCAGTCACAGCTGACCGTACTGTGTGTGTGAGCATGTGCCCTGCAATGGACTGGCATCCTGCCCCGGGGGGGGTGTCCCCTGCCTTGTGCCCTGTGCTTCCTGGGATGGGCTCTCAATTATGGAAGATGGATGGATAATGTGGTATTAACACTATGGTTATCGTGTTGGTCTGCTGAGGTGCTTCTTCTGGTCAGTCATGCTCAGAGTGTACATCCCTCATCCTCTTCATTTTAATGTAAACAGGCTTTATTAAAAATGAAAAAGCTTCTTGGAAGAAATGATCTTGGCAACCAAGAATTCTGCATCAGACAGCTTTTGGCCCGTTGACTTGTCTCAGCCTCGTCTGGGTTTGGCCGCTTTCTGCGCGAGTGATTTGCCGAAAAATTAAAGAGGATTATTCTGCTGCCGTTCTGCTTTGTTTACCGGCGAGCGGGAGGCTTTCGGCTCGGGTGGAGCTTCCCGGTCGTCACAGCAGTGTTTTATATAACGGCCGAAGCGCAGTGGTGTCTGAAGGTTACGTGGAGGATTTCTGTAGGAGCAGGTCTTCAGGCCCAGGGCTTCAGGCCTTCAGGCCCAGGGCTTCAGGCCTTCAGGCCCAGGGCTTCAGGCCTTCAGGCGTGCTCAGCGAACGCTGGCTGGTGAAGCCAGACACAAGGTGATGGAAATATCTTCCATTTCAGGCTGGCTTTTGATTTCCTCACCTGTTTTTTTTTTTTTTATTATTATTTTTGGTTTGCTTTGGAAAGAGATGTTTTGGTGGGTTGTGATATGTTCTTGTGATGATGCAGGACAATGAGCTGTAATTGTGACCTAGCGGGTCGTTTGGAGGTGGGGGTTGTCCCCCCATCCTGGGTGTTACTGCGTCGGTGCTGGCCATGGGCAGGGGATTTCTTACTTTGTGTTCTTGGAGTCGGCTCGTCTCGCCTGTGCTTCCACTCTTACCGACAATGTGCTGTCAATCTTGCTTTAGCATTAGCTGCTTCTTCTGTGGTAACATCTCTAATATTTTTTCCTGTTCGTGAGAAGCCGCCTCGAAGGCAGATTATGTATATTTTCTACTTCGTTTTACTTTAATGTGACAAGTTACGCCAAAACACATACTTGGTACTCAGGGTGTTCGTGGTGGCTGAAGCGGATTCTGATTCTGCTGTCGGTATTACTCTACCTTTCCGTGGAGCTTTCTAAGTGCTGGCGCCCCCTCAGCCCACACGGCGGCATGACGCACAGCTGTCCGTGCGCGGGGACCCGCTGGCCCCCGGGGGATGTGAAGGAACGTGCCCTTCATGGTTCCTGGTGTTCCTCCAGGAAGCCATGACCTCTGATCACATTGGCTTGGCTGAAATGGTAACGGTCAGCCACGCTGCTCCCAAACGACAGAAAACGGCGAATAGCAGAGCAGCGCGGGCTGAAGTCGGTCAGCTTTAGAGGTCGCGTGCAGGTCACACGCGGTATCCTCCGATTCCACGTAGAGATATCGTGTCGTAAAGCCATCCTCTGTCTTTCTCAAGGAAAGTTTTGCATTAGTAACATACTCAACTTGGACAGAGTAACAGTAATTTATTTATTTTTTTTTAAATATAACGTTTGGCAAAGGAATAATAACATAGTGACAGTGGTACATTGTTTTAAATGCTTAAAGGCACGGAAATGCATTGGAAGTAGCTATATCAAATGGCCGTGATTATTAAACTTTGAATTATACGTTTAAATACAGTTATGATGGTACTGAGTTTCCGATTTTGGCCCTGCAAGGTGGATGGAAAGTGTTTGTCTTACGAGCAGAATCTGGTGGTTTCTGATCATCTCGGACGTATCGGGCCGTATCATGCCGACGGTTTCACTTATTAAACATGTTAGTGTCTTGCTAATTATGGTTGTGGCGATCAGTCAGTGGATTTCTCTGATAGCAGTAGGAAGTACTGATCTGAATTGTATCAGGTAAAGCTGCAGCTCGCGCTTTTGTGGCTTTTGTCTTGCCTTGGTGAAGAATCTCTTCCAGGATATTTGTAGTTTTAACGGTTTTAAGCCAGGCATGTTTTAACAGATCCTGAGAAGCTCTGGCCGTCTCGGAAACAACGTATCGCCATAAAAAGACATTGAAAACAGAGCTTTGTGATGCAGTCATGGTCAAAGGCTGAACGCACAGTGGTGTGTCGATGGCTTGCTGGCGCGACTCTCCGCTCCACTACAATAGCCTCTTTAAATGGCCCGTCAGTGTCTAAGAGACTGATCCGTTTGCGTTTGTTTATGCCGGTTGCTATAGCGAGGTGATGATTTATTATGTTGGCTCTTTTAAGTCCAGAGGGACGTGATGTAACACTTTCTTTATCTCGCTTTTTCGTCCTCTTCCCTGGAGTGAGTTAAGGCCTCTGCTTTGGCAGCATGGAGTCCCTCTCAGGCGCAGGTACGGTTTCACGGTGACGGATCTAGTTTAAGCACCGCTGGACGCTGATAATTACTAGCGACACCGTGAAGGTTGGTTTCCTGTTAGGAAGGTGTCGATGGCCCCGGGCAGCATGCGTCGGTGAAACTTTACCCTCGGCGTGTGTTTCTGCCAGCTCGAAGGCATAAAGCGCATTGAAACATAACTTGGTATTATATTGCTTTTAATTAAAACCATTCAAGTCCCATTACAGACCCCTTAATGGCTTCCAAAGTTGGATACAGCCTGACTAAGTGGCTGGATATTGTATATTTATTTTGTTACTATTATAAGATTGTGGCGCCCTGATGGTGACTGAAACCCTCCCTGATTTGCTGAATGTGAATATTTCAGGTTTTTTTCTTTTTCGTGGTTTCGTCTGTCTGTACGTCATACCAGCCGGGTTCCTGTATGGTGCCTGTATCTCAGGGCAAAGAGCAGCCGCAGGCAGACAGAATCATTGCGACTCGTCAGTCCCATCCTGGTCCTTTCAGCCCCTTCGTGCAGATTTACCTGTGCAGAGCTGAGTGTTTCTGTAGCATCATAGGGATCTGTACCGGGGACACCCCCCCCCCCCCCCCCGCGGATATCATAAAGTCCCCACTGGACAGGAAGCTCCTCACGATGGCGATCGAATCCCCATGGGAGCCTGAATGAAGGAGCCCCCCTGTAACATATGGTTCCGTCTGGCATGTTACCTGGGGGGAGGCATGATGCTCAGGTGCAGCTCGAATGCTGGGAGCGCAGTACCGCTAACCGGAGCTCATCACTGGGGTGAATCCTGACATCTTGATCAAACTGCAGTTTTTACCACGGACGTGACTGATCCCTGATGCACTCTGACGGGGTTTCCCATCTGGGTTAGACGGGCCTGGGTGTAGGATGTAGTTGTGATACAATTAGGGTTTTCCGTAATGCCACCAAGCTGTTAATGAGTGGTGGGGATCAGCATTGATTCATGAAAATTAGGCCTGTTTTGATCACCACGATATCTACTTATCGAACGATAAATGACTTCGATAATTTTCCTGCATGTCAAATTGGCAAAGTGTGTTTACATAAGAATGAATGTCACTACCATTTTAGCCAGTCATGCTCCATCTGCTCTCTGTACTGGATGTCTAAGCGGTGTTTAGAGACCAGATCCATATGGATACATGGCCAAAAACACTGTTTTTTTTTTTAAATGGTTTTTAAATTTCTTTTTAGGATTTTTTATTTATTTATTTTTTTTGACATTATAATTACGGTGTCTGAATATTCTTAATTAGTTCATTTTTTGAAAGGTGTTCTTCCTTTATTGTGTTGTTATTATTGTATCAATGGCATAAAATGGTCTTAATGACAGTAATATCATTTATCGCTTATCGCAATTATTTCTGGGACAGTATATAGTCCAACAAAAAGCAGTTATTGTGACAGACCTAATGAAAATGACCGGGACTGCGTGGTGGTTGAGGTTCCAATCCAAACAGGGAGTCGCATGTTCTGGTTGTGCCGCCCTGATCGCTGTCCAGATCCTCCACTTTCCTCCCATTGTCCAGTGGCGTGCGGTGAGGTTATTTGGCATCTGGTTATTTGTGTGCCCTGTGATGCGGCATTCGGTACAGGGTGTCCCCGTGTCCTGGGCCTCCTACGCAGTCTGTTTGCCAGGTTACTGCATAAGCATTTAGGGCAGACGGACGACAATCATTATATCATCCGTTATCTTTATGTTGTCGTTTCTAACCTCGGTGTAGCTTAAAATAGCAAAGCGATGATGGATCTGATGAGGAACTGACTTTTACCACTAACTGGTAGGTGTTTGTTACTAATCCCAACTCCTCTTCTCTCCAGTCTGCCCCAGCAAAGATATTCGGAACAACGTGACCAACCTGAGGACGCTGGAGAACTGCACGGTGATTGAGGGCCACCTGAAGATCCTGCTGATGTTCAAGACCAGGTCGCAGGACTTCCGCGGCTTGAGTTTCCCGCGGCTGGCGGTCATCACCGACTACCTGCTGCTCTTCCGCGTCTACGGCCTGTCGAGCCTGAGCGAGCTTTTCCCCAACCTCACCGTCATCCGTGGCAACAACCTGTTCTTCAACTACGCCCTGGTTCTCTTCGAGATGCTCCAGCTGAGAGACATGGGCCTGCGCAGCCTGACCAACATCACGCGTGGCGCCGTGCGTATCGAGAAGAACCAGGACCTCTGCTACCTGTCCACCCTAGACTGGTCCAAGATCCTGGACTCCGTGGAGGACAACTACATCATCGCCAACAAGAATGAGCGTGAGTGCGGCGATGTCTGCCCAGGTGCGGCCAAGGGCAAGACCACGTGTACGCAGACCACCCTCAACGGGCACTTCGGGGAGCGATGCTGGACCCAGGAAGACTGCCAGAAGAGTGAGTATTGCCCCTATCTACAGGTCACCGAGGGTGGGTCTGCGAGCCGTTACCCCCGAAAGAACAGTCTGAGTGGTTCTGGGGAGCAAGAACCATGTAACCCGGGGGATGGGGGGGGGGGGCACTGCGTTTGGAGCACGTTATCCTGTTTCTCCTGGTAAAGCTATAATGCAGAGATCGCGTTTATAGTAAATATGAGAAACACTCGATGTAGGTTGGTTAAGTGGGTAGTTCTACATGGGCTACTCAGTCTCACTAGTCCTTTTGTTGGATCTTTACTAGTTGCGCTGAGGTCAGTCGGATATTATAAGAGCTATGCATATTTTTAAAATCGTTACCTAGCAGATAGCTATTTTGTTCCTAAACAGTCTGCATGAAAACGCCGCGGAGGGTGACAGGAATGTTTAGAGCAGAGTTGTGCGCTGGACTGGCTGTTCCCACTGCCTGGCATGCGGCAGCCCTGCCATCCAGGTGGCCCGGAACACACGGTGCCCACAGCTGTCAGGGAACGAGGCTGGTGTTCGGCCTCTAGGGGGCGAGCCTCATGTACACACCCCATCGCCAGAGTGCCTCGCTCACGGTCAGGAGGCGACACCGGTGTAGGTGAAGGGGGCCCCCTGTGGACGGCATCTGCGCTGCAATCTGATGGAAACCCAGGCAGGAAAAGCTGGGATGCTTTGGGCAACCTGAGCCTTTGAAACCCGCAGCCGAGTGTCCGGTTTGCAGAGTAAGGAGGAAAGGCCGACTCTCCAGGATCTGAGCGTAGGCATTATGGAGTGTTAACTAACCCGCCGGCCTAAGGGTGATCTGAGGCGGGTAGCTGGTTGCGCTTCAGCAGCCGGCTTTGATTAAATCCCGGCCGATCTGCTTTGGCGACATCTTCCATGCCTTTGGGGACTTCCTCCCATAACAGTCATTATGAGTCGTTAGGGGGGGGAGGACTCTAGCCTTTTTGCCTGCCATCGGAAGGTTGTTGGTTCGAGCCCCAGCCTTGGCAGAATAGTCACTTGTCTGTTGGGCCCCTGAGCAAGGCCCTTAAGGAGCTATATAAACAGCTGCCCCTGCACTTGGACCTAAAGCGTCACTCTCACCTGTGTGTGTATATATGAGCACGTGTGTGTGTGGGTTTGCATCAGTGTCTGTGTACATTAATACCACATTTCATTGCAGTTCAGATTGATTTAAAAGTGCAGGCTTGTGTTGTGACCGGAAGGTTACTGGTTCACATCTCAGGTGGATCATCTGAGGGATGCTATAATGATCTGCTATCCAAACTGCCTTGTGAAAAACGAAACCCTCTTTAATGGGGCATTGTGTGGCTCGGCAGAGTAGAACACTGTGCCTGTGATCTGAGGGTCATTGGTTCGAATCCCTGGATTGGCAGAGTGATGTCACTGCCTGGCCCCTAAATGAGATCTTTCACCCCTAGCTGCTGCCAAAGCTGTCTGATCCTACGTGACCCTGCGTTCTCAGTTGTACTGTATATCGTTTTGGATAATGGTGCCTGCTAAGTTGTTAATTATAATTCATACGCGTTAAGAGGAAACACATTTCGAGCCGCGTGATGGATGCCGGGTCTCCGAAGGTGGGGGCCGTGCTCTGTGTCGCCACGACAGAGACTCAGCAAAGAGAAAATGTCACTGATGGAGATGCACCGATTGCAATTTTCTTGGCCAATTCTGATTTCCGTTTTCGTGTGACTGGCCAATACCGATTTTTGCCGATTCCAGTTTTCTTTCCAAGAACTATAATTGACAGCATATACAAAAATCGTTTTTTTTTTTTCCAATGCAGATTTTTATCTTCGTAATAAAAGGAATTGTTAAACTTTACAGTTTCGCCCCGACTGCACTAAGTCACTGGATCTCCTCTCACTTAAGTCTCAAAATAAAGTGCTCTGTCACTGGAAAGAGGTGCAAATAAAAATTAACTGAAAATGAGCTGCTGTACACCCAGATTTATCTGAGATGTTTTAATTTACCAAACAAGAGCAGGTGCAACAGATTTAAATAACAAAACAAATGTCAGTTACTTGCATCATTTTCCAGTATGATTAAATTCACCAGACGACACCACATTGACCTTTGTTCCCCCCCCCCCCTTCTTAAAATAAAGTCCATAGGTTACACACCTCCAAATAACTCTGAAGTTTACTATACTCTTTCAAATAATAGGTACAGGGTAATATTATTAATGCCAGCATCGCATGTTTTTCATACCTTCATACTGTACGGACATTATGTTGCAGGGGGTTAAAGTTTCGCGAAACCATTTTTACTGTCATAGGATCTATCTACTTTACGTGTAATAATCAGTTTAAAGTTTACCTCGGATGTTTTACCATGTTTTCGTGCCGTTTCCTCCTCGTTCTCCAGTCTGGCCTGAGCACACTGAAAACCGGACCATTCTGGTCCCTGGCCGATTGATCGGTGCATCTCTTGTCACGACCTCACTGCCCAGGGAGAAGGTTCCAGTGGCTGGTAGCTCGCAGTGCCCTTCGCGAGGACCGCCTGGGGGTTTGAGAAGCACTGCCTTACAGAGTTCCAGTCAGTGACCTTCTCCTTTCTTACAATCCAGAAATATCATGCAATACGGCAATTTGCTGTGTCTGACGGAGTATCAGACTGAGCCTGTTAGCAGTGATCTGTGTCTGTCTGGGTGTCTGTCTGTCTGGGTGTCTGTCTGACTGTCTGTGTGTGTGGGTGTCTCTCTGTCTGGCTGTCTGTCTGTCTGTCTGTGTGGGTGTCTGGCTGTCTGTCTGTCTGTCTGTGTGGGTGTCTGGGTGTCTGTCTGTCTGTGTGGGTGTCTCTCTGTCTGGGTGTCTGTCTGTCTGTGTGGGTGTCTCTCTGTCTGGGTGTCTGTCTGACTGTGTGTGGGTGTCTGTGTCTGTCTGTCTCTGTCTGGCTGTCTGTTTGTGTGGGTGTCTCTCTGTCTGGGTGTCTGTCTGTCTGTGTGGGTGTCTGGGTCTGTCTGTCTCTGTCTGTCTGGGTGTCTGTGTGTGTGGGTGTCTGTCTGTCTATGATGGAGGGGCAGCAGATCCCTTCTCGACAGCCCAACGTTCAAGCCCAGGTTACCTACGATGCTCGTGGATCTCGTGATGCATCACATTTTTATACTTTTTGTCATAATACATGTTTTCTCCGACGCTCGCGCTAAGAAACCGTAGGAAGCATCTTTGATCATAAATGGGTCCGAACTGCTGCCTTTGTCTCAGGATCCGATGGACGGTGACAAGTGGGGTTATTTTAGATCCAGTTTCCATGTAATTTTATTGGTCTTGGTGCATCAGCTGACGACGAAGACGGCAGTGGGGTTCGATTTGAGGAACCTGCCAGAAGGAGCCGGGTGCTCGCTAACCCCTGTGCCCGCCCCTGTGCCCGCCGCTCTGTGGTGCCCATGTTTTTCTGCAGGGCATTTTGAGGTCTGATACAGTGTCGGACAGAACTAACTTTAGCATCACTTTTTCTGTACTTTTCAAAATAGTTCTGGCCGTCTTCCATTCTGGACAAAGCAGACTTAATTAATTCTTGCTGCGGGTTGCAGCCCTTGTCTGGAATTTTGGGCTTCTCGCCGTATTCAGAACTTCACCCCCCATCCCCCCCATCCTAAGCAGTGTGGGTGCACTTGCCCCGCCCCCCTCCCTCCAGGCTCCCGCCCTGTTAGAGACACAGACTTGCATTTCCTGCGAGCTCCTGCAGGCTGACTGTTTCCTCCTTCTAATACCTCCCCCCCCCCCCCCCCTCCCCCTCGGGGGGGGGGGGGGGGGGGGGGGGGGGATGAGGCGGCAGACGGCCGCTGCTTGGAAACTGTTTCTGGGCACGTAATAGATGCCAGATGGCCGCCGACAAGTGGCTGATCCCGGCCGTGTGTCCGGCGCTGTCCCGCGGCCTTCTGGGGGATTTCTCGGACTCTTGGTCACGGCTTGACCTCGACCCGCTCGTTCCAATTCCCACCAACCGCCCCCACCAACCCCCACCAAAGGTCATAGTGACCATAGACGTACTGATGTGATGTTTCTGTATCCAGGGAGAATTTTTGTCACGACCTGAAACCCTCCCTTTTGCGAACCTCTGGCCTTAATGTTGAAACGATGCCATAAAGAATGTTCCGGAGCCACGGGCGGCCGTCCGCTCCTCTTGCTTTGCTTTAGGGCCAGCGATCGGCTCGCCGGTGTGGCTCGTAGCAGCCTGCAAACGGGAATGATTATGTGTATTATCACTCGCGTTTTGCTACATTAAACATCTTCGCGATGGTGCCCATTGTGCCTGTATCTGGAAAGGTAAACTTTCTGTTCTGTCTACTTGCTGCGGCCCCCCCGTCCATTAAAAACAGAGGTAACCAGATGAAAGACTTGGAACACAAACAGCCGATCTCCCGTCTCGATAAGTGGTATCTGTTCCTCTGGCACACGGTGTGTGTCTGTGTGCTGCTTATTGCCGCACTGCGATGTGTTTCGCAACCTTGTTTTTCTGGGTCAGAGTTCAGCAGCACGGCTCTCTGGTTTGAACCGCCATGGGCATTGACTCCGCCCCCCCCGGCGACATGGCCGCCGTTGCTGCTGGCTTACGGGGGCTGTTGGTAGTGTCTCGTTTGAAGTGTTTTTTTTTTCTATAATGGAAAATTTGAGGTGGGTATCA